TCTTAAAATGTTTGAAACCTGTTTTAAATGCTTGGAATAGTTAGTCTACCTTGTGAAACCTATGCACACTTAGTTTGGCTTTGTTCTGAGTCTTCGTTAATTTTTGGTGATTATTTGTTTTCCCCTCATTGAAAAGCATTGGACGGACAGTCCAATGCTTTTCAATGAGGGGGAAAAATCACCCAAATCATCAATGTATTTCAATAGCTTTCCAATGGGGGAAACATTGTTTCACTTAGCGATGTTTCCTATGGGGATTTTGGCTTAAGGACGGTAATCCGTTCCCATTGGAACGGATTAACTGGTTTTCAATGCATTCCTATGGGAAATGGTGTTTCACTTAACAATGTTTTCCCATAGCGATGTTTTTTTGGAACCAATTAACATTGTTAAGTGAGGCACCACTGTACTTGAAATTAACTGGTGTGGGAAGACTGATGTTTGATGTACATAGTATTTTCTAAACTAAAAGCCCGGCCAGATCGAAAGGGAAATCTCCTGTCAATGAAAACTCAAGATCGTGTCTTCCTTTATAGACTATTTCAACCTTCTCTTGGTCTGTTCTCTTTTCCTGTTCCTTGACATCATGTTTTTTCTTGGTGAGTTTTGTTTTCTCGTGCTGTGCTGAAACTACAAGACTTTCCGTTCCCTCCTTTTTACTTCTGGAGGGAGTTCAGACCTGATTCGATCTCATATCCCCTTATTGGTCTTTTGGGCACCATATGTGGAAAGCAGCAGGAAAAGAGATGGACCGACTCATTTAAGGAAGCCAGTTTTGAGTCCCTAATTAGTGAGACGGTCATAAGCCAGAACTGACTTGACTGAGCAAGAGAACAAGATCTTTTGAGCCATCTGTGAGGAGCCCTCCCTCAATGTAACTTTGCCGGTTGGAGCTTCCCTAAGTTCGGAAACAGCACCATCTGTCCACAAAAGTTCAGTTCATCCATGCAGTGCAATGATGTCTTTTGAAAACCTGTGCTTCTCTGTTTTTTTGTTTCTGGGTTGGTTTGCTTGTTTGGGGGGGGACACGTTGTTTGGCTTTTGTCTTTGCCCTTTGGTTGATCTGCTTGCACAGATAAATACGGCTACGTCTTGGAAACCCAGCCCTATCCTAAACATTACTGTTTTTTAGGGTTCCACACCCTCCAGTGGCTGTTCGGCTGTGAACTGAGCCAGGATGGACTCAAGGCCGGGGTCAACAAGTTCAGCTACGACGGGAAGGAGGCCCTCAGCTTCGATAAGGACACCCTGACCTGGACAGCCTACGATCCTGTTGGCCAGGAGTACAAAAGGGAATGGGAATCCAAGCCGGGACGCACCCAGCGCTCGAAACACTACCTGGAAGAGAAATGCATAGGCATGTTGCGCCAATTCCTGAAATTTGACAAGAAGGAGCTGCAGAGAAGAGGTGAGGCTGGAGACCCGACGATAACAAGTTGTGTATGAGTGAAGTCTGGAAAGGCACAGCCTGGAAAAAATTTTGTTTTCTCCTTCTGAATCTTTGAAACCCACAGCCAAGACATTCTGGGAACTGCAGTTCCAGATATGTCAAAAGCTCTGTGTGTGTGTGTGTGGTGTGTGTGTGTGTGTGTGTTTTGGCAGGTTGTCTGCTCATTCAGGACTGCTACCTGCACAGATGCCTCTGCTGCATCCTCTGAGGCTTGATGTCTGCCTGGTTTTTGAAATGCACCTGTTGCAACATTGTCTTGCAGACCCCCCTCCCCCTTGTCCAGCTCAGTAGTAATCACAGAGTGAGGCCCCACATTGCCCATTCTCCCATTGGTGGCATCCTCCTCCCTCCGCCAGGTGCGTCCTGGTCCATCCTCTTCCTCTTCCTGTGGTCAAAATCACCTGCTCTCTGAAATGGGGGGCTTGTGGCCGGCAGAGAGAGCAGGAGCTGGCCGCAACATTTCAGCCATCAATCTGTGCTGCCCATTGTGGGGTCATGAAATGAGAAGGCTGATGGGCTAGTTAAGGAACTCACCACACACGCAGGGATGTCTGCCAGCAGTGCTCCTGATGTGCAACTAGTAGAAGAGGACCTCAAATAAGACCGCCCTGCCCCCAGGAGGACTGTGTTTTATTAACCTTACAAGTTCTCAGATCATTGACAGTATAAAATGTGCCCAGAGAGGTTTTTTTTTGTTTGACCTGTTGAGGCTACTCGTTCTGTAACTTAAGGTCTCCACTCTAGGTTGAGAAACAGAGTTTTCTTCTGTTAATATATGTAGTTTCTTCTGTTAATATGCAAATCAGGACTTCCAATATCCTGTTTCCCCGAAAATGACCTAACCTGAAAATAAGCCCTAGTATGATTTTTCAGGATGCTTATAATAAAAGGTTGACCCCCAAAATAAGCCCCAGTTGAGTGAAACCTTGCCCTCCACCATTGTGCAGCAACCAGAAGAAAATGACATGACTGTATTTGAATAAATGTAGATTGTTGTACATGAAAAAAAAATCCCCTGAAAATAAGCCCTAATGCATTTTGGAACAAAAATTAATATAAGCCCCCGTCCTATTTTCAGGGGAACACAGTATTGATAGTTGTCCACCAGTAACTTGCTAGGAGACTGTAACTCACTTGGAGACTGATAACCATCATGTTTTCACAGTCTACATAGGCACCTACAGTAGTCTGAAATGTTTGTAAAAGCTCTAACAGATTTATGTCTTTGCCTAGTGGCCTTACAGTGTTTTAAATGTTGTGTGAGAAACTCACCTAGATCTTGTTTTTGCAACAATGTTAGTTGCATAAGGTACATGCAATGTCACTGAATTGAACTTCAAATGCAAAAAAATAAGCAATACCATATACACCACTAAAAATCATCTTACAATAAATGAGATTTCATGGATTAAAACACCACTTCATGAGGTTTGTACCAGTGAGAAGACTTCAAAAGTAGTCAGTTGACTAGATGGGCAGGGTATAAATGCAAACAAACAAACAAACAAATATTTTGAATGGTAATACTTTTTATTCAGACCAACTGAAAAGATACAAAATTGTGTGGAAACTTTTGACTTGGGACACAACCTGCCTTTGGACAAAAGTATATAAATATAGCAAATCCAGGGCATTTGTTTGGGTTTTATTTATTTATTTATTTATTTATTTATTTATTTATTTATTTATTTATTTATTTATTTATTTATTTATTATCCCGCCTATCTGGTCGTGTCAGGATCACTCTAGGCGGCTAACAACATAAAAAAAAATACAATAAATATACATATAAATTTTCAGACTTACTTCCACTGTGCCATGAGAGGGAAGGAGGCGTTTGGGTAAGACTCATTAATGACGGGCGATGTATTGAATTAAGCATCGGGAAGGTGAAGGGCGACTGGGCTACCCAGAACCAAGAAGCAGACATACCTTTGAAATGTCACAGTCTAAGCTCTGAGAAAATAAGGACTCAACTTGTGGCACAAATAAAAAGCAACAGCAATATATATTTGCCTCCTGCTGCAAAGACTGGGCAACTTTGGCAGGCAGAGAGTCAGTTTTTTGTGCATCCAGAAATAGCCAAAATCTATTTTTAAAAAGCAAGGTGATGGCAACTAGATCTCTCCTTCTGCTTCTGCTTACCTTTTAAGGTGGGGAAGGGATCAAAACAGCATTCAGTGCTGCGTTGATTTAGGAGTCCAGGTTAAGAGATTGCTGTTTTTGCAGTGGCTCCAGATGTGAAGGTGGTTCACAAAAAGGGCCGTGATGGTGCCGAGACCCTCGTCTGCCACATTCACGGTTTCTACCCCAAGGCGATTGATGCCACGTGGAAGAAGAACGGGGAGGTGTTGGAAGCCGAGACCGTCCACGGGAATGTGGTTCCTAACTCGGATGGGACCTTCCACACCTGGCTCAGTATTGAGATTGACCCAGAGGAGCGGGACCAGTATCATTGCACCGTGGAGCACGACAGCCTGCTTGGGGATCCTGACCCAGTTGTGGAGCAGCCTGGTAAGAATCTGGAAGGGATGAGGAGGAAGGCCAGTTGAAGGCCAGTATCTCCAGGGAGGGGTGTCTGTGGTACACATGGTTGCGGAAATGTTCGTGCCATCAGCCATGCAACAGAGACACACCTTCCTGAATGGAGAAAATGATTACCTGTCTGAAGTAAATAGAACAGCATCCTGGGCTAGGACATTCAAAATGGCTCCATGGATGGGAATACAGGAAAGGCCCTGAAGGTGGATCAGAATGCAGACAGTCTTTCCTGGGGGTAGGGGTGAACGTGAGGGAGGGGGGCTGATCCTCAGAAGGACACCGCCAGCACCATCTTAGTTTGATGCCCAGCCTGGACGCCTCATCGTTGAAGACACAGGCAGCCCCCTCTTCCCCACCTGAGAGCAAGGGGGGGGTATTTTTTATATTCTATCATAACATTTCATTCCCTTCTCCTGTTTCAATCCCAGGGATCAGTCTGTGGGTGATGGTTGGTGTGATCCTCGGGCTCGTTCTCCTGGTTGTGCCTTTGATCATCATCATCATCATGATCATAAGTGAGTCTGGTGTGGGGCATGGTGGTAGGTGGGAGGAAGGATAGGTTACAGTCCTTGGTCAGGCAGGAATGAGAAGTACAGTGGTGCCCCGCATAGCAATGATAATCCATTCCGGAAAAATCCTCACTATATGAATTCATCGCTATGCAGGATAAAGAATCCCATGGGAATGCATTAAAACACGTTAAACATGATTTTCTGGGCAAAAAACTCACCGTTATGCGAAGATCCTCCATGCAGCCGCCATTTTCACTGCCCGGTAAGCGAGGAAAGGGCACGAAAACACAGCGGGCGGCCATTTTATTTACCCAGAGGCCTTTTTGGAACAGCCGATCAGCTGTTAGAAAACATCGCAATGCGATCGATTTTGCGATCGCAAAAAACACATCGCTATGTGTTAAACGAATCGTTTGTTATGCGGGGCACCACTGTACTTCTATCATCAGCGTTCTCCTGGTTTTCTCTTTCTTCCCCTCTGTCGTCTAATGGCCTTTTTGAGCTAGAAAGTAAAGTCATCTAGAAGGTCGTTTAGTTCTGTTCTGTGCTGTCAAGGCAGAACCATCTTACAGTGATCCGAATAGTGACTTTCCACGGCAAAGCGGGGGCATCCTAGTCCACTCGATAATTTAAAACCAATGTTCTTCTTACATATATCTCCAACATCAATCCATCTCTCGTCATCTTTCTGTGTACCTGTGTGAGCCAATCTGTTTATCTATTGATTTAGCTAGCTCCTTGTTATTGACTTAGTGAACCCTTTCTAATCTTCCAAATCCTGAGAGCACTAAGGGAAAGGTGCAATGAATAAAATCCCTCTAAAAGAAAGATAGACATCAATATAATTTAAATATGTTACAATAAATGGAATGTCTAAAAACCGCATAAAGGGAATTGAACTTAAGACGAATAACAGCCATCAGAGAGGGAAGACCAAACTGTTTCTCCTTTCCAGGACACCGACGAGAAAGGAGCCCTCCAGCCCCCAGTGAAGAAATGCGGAGTATAAATCCACCCCGAAAGCGACGCCATGTTTTGATCCAACAGGAACACTAAGGACGCTTTGAAAGGCTCTCCGGGGACCCTGAAGTGAAACCTTATTAGGCGGGAGTGGCGTGGCGAGTGCCATCCTGCTGGCATCCTCCCAGGACGCGCCAGGCAAACCCCAAACCGGTCCTTTGGAGTTGTGGACTTAACTGGCATTTCCAGGAAGACGTAGTCATCGTCCTCTGGAAAGTGTGGTTCTCTTGAACGATAGAGAAGCTTTCCTCATTCACGCAAAAGTAAGCAGTACATAAGTGCAATTAAAAAGGCACCGTTGGGTAAGGCCTTTAAGGAGCACCAAATGCATATTGCAAAAGCCAGCCATTGAGTCCTCGACAACTTTTTGTCGGACTTGCAAAACCTGGGCAGGATGTGTGAGGATATGGGTTCTGTAGTACTTATTTTCCAGAGTTTGCAGGTGTTCTGTCTGGGCCTGAGACCAAGATCTTGCTGTGGAGAAAAAAAAACAAGGCCACATCTGAAGACTGAAAAATGATGCCATCACAAAGTAGACACTTCCAAGTTATAGAAGGGGGATAAGGTATGTGGGTACACTGGAGGAGGAGAAAAAGATGGACGACAGTTTATAGCCTTCTTTGATTGATGAAGGAGATTTAGCCATGGTGATTTAGAGCAGCCTAGCCATTAAGTAGTAAAACGATGAGCTAGTTCATACTTTTATTGTTTTATGGGAAAGGCTTTTGGGAGTTGGCATTTAATCAGTACAAATTGTCCTTTTTTGTATTTCTTTTGTTTTATAGTTTTTTTTTCCTTTTTAAACATATGTTTTATCTGTTACCCAATTGTGATCCTTGGGGGAAAAGGTGAGAGTGGCTGAAGGAAGGGTCTTCGCCACAAGGGCTTTATCTCCTATTTTTGGTTCTTTGAGTGTCTATCCTACTTATTCAGGGTGATGTGCAAGGTTCAAAGTTCACGGTTAAAGATTTTTCAGCTTAACGAGGTGAGTCAACTGGAAATCGAGGGATAGAAGCCTGCCCAAAGTTGCCCAGTCACTCACCTTCTCAATATCACCCAGCCAGGAATGGAAAGGTGTTGGGCGTTGGGAACGACAGTTTGGCTCCTTCCCTTAATGGAATGTCTTCTGTAAGGAGACGCATTCCTGACAGGAAGGAGGAAGGAGGAAAGACAGTCCGAAGGCAAGCTGGCCGGCAGGGGGCTGCAAGCTGAAACAGAGAGCTTGAGCTGTAGCATTGTGACATTGTGTTTCTCAGGAAATGGGGGAATTTGCTGACGTTATTTTACAGTATCACTCAGAAGTTGTTTCCTCTCATGCACAAGATGGCTGTAATTACAGGAGGCACAGTGAGGATACTGACCACTACTTTTCGCTAATATAGACAGTGGTGCCACGCTTAACGATGTTAATTCGTTCCAGCAAAATCGCTGTAGAGTGAAAATGTTGTAAAGCAAAATTAAAAAGCCCATTGAAATGCATTGAAAACCATTCAATGCATTCCAATAGGCTGAATTACTCACCGTCCAGCGAAGATCCTCCATGGGGGTGGCTGTTTTCGCTGCCTGTAAAGTGAGGAATTCATCCCAAAACACAGCGGGAAGCCATTTTGAGCAGCCGGCAGCCATTTTGCAAAGCCGACGATCGGCTGTTTTGATCATCGTAATGCGAAGAATCGGTTCCTGAAGCAGGGAACTGATCGTCGGGAAGTGAAAAGTCCTTGTCAGCCCAGGGCAGACCTGTCCTGTTTGGCTCATGAAACCTCGTGGGGTGGGGGTGGATCAGGCACTTCAATCCTGGCTGCTGGACGTCTTCTCCACTGAATCAGGAGGATGTCCAACAGCCAGGACTCACCTGCCCGAGAACCTCACGTGGAGGACGGAGAATCTTCCCTGATCGATGGGGGTCTGGACCGTGACAGGGTGCTCGACCCGGGCGAGGGCTCAAACTGGTCTTGCAAGGGGGGCCCTGGTCTGCTCCCAAAGGGAGCGACCGTGAGGAAGGGGCAATAGGCTTCTGCAGAAGGAAGGAAACAAGCTTCCTTTGCCAAGAGTGTAGATAGGGGTTGGTATCCTTAGCCTAGAGTCTGGGTCACTGGGCACCCCCACAACTTTGGATCTGTATGTACTGCTCCCTGTTTCATGAAACCAGGAAACTCAGTTCAAGGAAACTTGGTCTGGTGTCTTTTCTCTAAAAGGGTCTGTTACCCAACGGGTTAGGGTGACCGTCCAAGAGAAAAAATTGGAGAAGCTTCAGGCGGTAGTGGAGAGATCTCATCCTTCATGCCAGTCATCCCTTCTTCACACAGAGTTCTGAAAGTCTCCCTGTCAGGGATGCTGGGATTCCCTGTCGGTTCTCTAGTTAGTGGTTCCGAACTGTGGAGGAGTGATAGAGATAAATGAAAGAGAACCCTTGAGACCAAAGAAAAAGAGATAACAGTGGGCAATGAGGAAGGGATTAAAGATCTGAGTGTCAAGGAGAAAAGGGAGTTGGAGGGAAAGGGGGTAGAGGTTTTTCTGGTGTCAGAGATAAAAGGTGTGACGGAGATAGAACAGTTGTCTGGGAAGAGGAAGGAGACAAAGGAGGGTCTCGAGTTTTTAGAGAACCAATAAAGAAGGAGAAAGAGAGAGAGAGAGAGGAGGAGGACGACGACACTGGGACAGAGAGAGGACGAAGGGAACTGAATGTAAAGACTAGAGGATTATGATCTGATTTTCCCAACCTCAAAGTGGGAGGATTGTTATCTGACTCACCAGATGTAAAGGTTGAAGGATTGCTACCGGACCCCTTAGAATGGGCAGTGGTTGTCTTCCCACACGGACGAGGTCCATGGAGGAAAGTGGTTCGTCTGGGACCTATACCTACCAAATACAAGCAGGACGGAGATTGGGCACGCCACCCATGCTGTGGGATGATTTGTGCAGTCCGCAGCACTCCTTTGAGAAAACCTACCAACCAGGAGCGGTTTGGACGAGACCCCCGGTAAAAGAAGGAAAGTTAGGTGGAGAATTAATGTTGTCCTGGACTGAGTCCCCATTGATTGTTGGCACAGTTGACCCTATTGAGGTTGTTGTGCACTCCCCTGAAGTTAATGTTAATAA